GGTCGTGGGACTAGTTTGGGCCCTACCTAAGCTGGTCGAATGTTTCGTTTGGGTCTATACCCTAGCTGCACTGATGAGGCCTGGAAGGCCGAAATGGATCCGTCTGCAGATATTGGGATTCCTTCCAGTGGATACTTAGTTTATTTTGTCATTCTGATCGGATTTTCTCTACTGTTCTGTTTTAATTTTAAATAGTTTTGCATTATGTGGCCGTTTGCTGTTTTATGGGTTTTCCCATTTGCCTTTTAAAATTTATATATATGGCAAAACCAGCATACTGTCGCTAATAGTTAAACTAAGTAAATAGCATAAGAATGTGAAAGTATTGCATGTATAGCCCTAAATGTTTTTTTTAATATTTCATCTCTTTGCATTTTGTAATTTGATATTTGTTTGGTTTTATTTTTTTATGATTAGTTTGGTGTTGATATATTTTCTAATTGTTTATGCCAGATTCAAGGAACCTTTCCGTTTATGTATTTTTATATGTGAATAGACCAATAAAGTTTATCTTATCTTTATCTATTAATCAGATCCAGCAACTGGGAGGCGAGTATTGGATTTCCTGTACTGTATGACATTGAGCATATTGATGAGGATACCGACCCAATGAAGCGTGACAGAGTCATGACGGCCTTGAAGAGCCAGGAGATTGATACACGTGATCATTTCTTACAAGATAAAGTAAGTCATATGACTAATATACTCTTCATAATATGTTATGAAATGTATTTTTTAAAAATTGAATAATAGGTACTTTTTTTAATTGAATATTCTTGATGTGAATAATTAAAAATGTACTTACTTCATTCTCTTCTTTCAGTTAATGTTTATAGTTTTATTGGTGGTTGATACTGAAATAAAGAACAGATTCAAAATACCTGCTTTGGGGTTTTAAAGACTTGGCTTCTAAAGTTAGAAACTAGATTTCCTTTTTGTTTTCATAAGCTTTGCCACCACTCCACCCCATTCTATTTTAACCGTCCATAAAAATTGTTTACTAATCTAATATCTTAAATGATAGCCACATAATTACAGTCTGGGTCTGCCCCCGAAGAGGGGCTTGAGGACGGTCAAAATAGAATGGGGTGGAGTGGTGGCAAAGCATGTATTTCTAGGCCCTTTGGATCCACTGCATTCGATCTCACCAAGAAACTCGAAAAGGAACTTACCGTATGTATTTCTCAGGACCTACTGGTGTTGTCAATATATATTCATAATTCATTGATGGCATTTTTTTTATAGGATTCACTACAAGTGGTTCTCTACCCTGATTTGATTGTGTCACTGAAAAGAAAAGTGGGAGACAAAGATATTTGGCCACCTAAGTCACAAGTCTGGGTGATTAGTAAGGTAAAAGATTCAGCCAATCAGATTGATTAATCTGATTGTTTATTAAAACATCAACCAAGTACATTATCCATTTATAATGTGTTTAGCCAATCTAAAGATTTGAAATCAAATAGATTTATTTCAAATCACCCTATTTTAAATAAATAGAAAAATCACCATAAAATTTGATCATTTATCACCATTCTTTCATAAATATATGTGCAACCAAAGAGTATAGAATAACAAGGTCTGACTGCCGGGCTTTATTTGAAAATACCAAACTAGAATTAGAGGGTGCCCTTCAAAAAAATGTAAAAGTTGTTCATGTCGAAAGCGTGCTGAGCCTATGCTCAGATTTTGAAATCTATTTAAATTCTAATATGGCACCACCTACTTTGTGGTGGTCCTCTTTTTTTCGTTGCATTTTTAACAATGAAAAATCAGGGCAGTCGTACCTCCTGCTATTCTGTACTGTTTGGTAAACTCGTAATGTAGGAAGATAAATAGCCTAATTGACAATGATGAAATATTGTGATGAGTGTAAATGTTTAACATCAAGATCTCATAAAACTCTCTTTTGATTGGCTGTTCAGAAAGGTGTAATATATTGCCGTGCAATGTCTTCAGTAGCGTTGACTTTAGGTGAGAGGTGTAGAATTGATAAAATGTTCCCTGATGGTGAGACGGCTGCTCAGGGCTATGCCATTACCCTGGACAAGAGGTAAGTTAACTGTATCAGACCTTATTCATGGTTGGGCTAGGTGGCTAGTAAAACTTGGTCTAGTTGGCTGGTTATACTATACTTGGGACTAGGTACTAGACCTTCAGCCATTTTCTAGGCAAGTGTATGTTATAGGTTGGCATGAGCATTTGTTGTCATTTAATAGTCATAATACCACTATAATATTATAAGAAAACAAGTGTTAACATGATATAAATTCACCAAAGTGACCTAAAAACAAAGGGCATAAAACAGGAGTTGGCTCAGGGAATAGGAGAATGGAGCGCTATAACATTTAGAAAAGTAAAACATGTGCATGGCAGAGAAAATAGACTGTTTAAATGAATACTGGTGCTTGAAGCAGATAGTAAAGTGACAGTAGCAGGAGCAGGAATAACAGCATCAACACAGCAGCAACAGCAATTGTAATATGAAAAACCATTAGTAATACAGTAATATCGAAAGGTCTACTGATTAATCTCAGATAAGATAGTATAGTACATACATCAAAATGCATGCCATCGTGTCGGGATTCAATGTATAGTAATAATATATATAATAATCAGTAATATGTAATATGTAGTATAATATATAGTAAGATTATATTTTGTTTGTTTTTTTTTATTTAGAAGTACTGATAATCCAACACAGCAATGGGGGTTCAGCCCTGAAGGATTCATTTACTCTTTGGTGAGTAAATAATTTATTTCATTTAATACATTTATATTATTGTAGTCAGAAGAATTAGTTCATGTGTTGTAAACTCATTTGTGGCAAATCCAAGCCAAACCAATCACTCCTTGCAAAACTCTCTTTTTAGTTATTAATAGATTTTGATTAAATGTTGACATTCCAACATGTTTTAGCCATTATCTCAGAAACATGACTTGTGAGGAGTGACTGGTTTAGCTTGTCATTGCCACATTTTCTCTTTGAAAGAAAGGTAAAGTAAATGTTTGCTGCTGTAGACTCTTATTCTTTTTTTTTATATTTCTGATTAATTTTTTTTTAGACTCAGCCAGAATTGGTTCTCACTTACATCCCCAAACCTGCCAATGCAAACAATGATGAGTTGCAATTTGGAGGCGATACTGTTAACATACAGGACTTCGAGAATCACCCTGAACAACAACCCTCTGGAGAGGATGGTACAGGTGAAAATGACAAAGGTTTCCCAGGTCATAACTTCATGGTGGCTGCTATTGGAAAACTGCCAACCAAACACCCATGGGCCAAGGCACAAAGGTAAATGTCTTATACACAGTAATATCTATAGTTTTAGAAAAAAAAGTAGATTAAAAATAAGATAAAGCAACTTTTAAACACAGAAATATTTTTCTCACTATATAGTATACAAATATTTTAATAATATACTTTCAATTGTTTTGGTCTGTGTCACATTAAAAGTTAATAACTTGCTTGATCAATTTAATAAGTAATTTAGTGTTTGAATTTAATTTTTTTAAAATGTTTTTTTGTTGACAATATACCTTTATTATTGAGGTAGATATCAATCACTGATTACTTATTTATTGAGTATGTGCATATTTATTGATTACATACATATCTGTTGATTATGTACATATTTTTTTTGATTATTTATTGATTATTACTAATTTATTGATTGCTTATCTATTTAATGTGTACAGGTGGGCCTTGAAACAAGAGAGGATTGATAACCTAGGCCAGTGGAAGCATTCAACCGTTCAAAACCCACTCTGGAACAAACTTGCTTACTCTTGGCCAGTCACAGAAGAGGGAACATGGAATGAAGAATTCGATTGGCCAATGGAAGCTTTCCTCATTCCATTTGCCCCGCCCATAAAAGTCCGTAAAAGTGATAAGGGAGACAAGAAAGGAGGACATGGGAGTAAGTTGCGATTGTAAATGATAACCTTAAGTATTGAATGATATGTAGCAGCTTAGCTCAGTCGGCTAAACTGGTGGTAGCAGCTGTGTGTGCGCTGAACCGTGGAGACCTCTTGACCCCCGGTTCAATTCCCATCGCTGCTCTCCTTGTATTTCAGCTAGAGGGCTGAACTTCAAGTTACAATAGTGCACCATCTTTAAGATGAGACTTTTAAGCTATTGGTCCTGTGTGCATTATGGCCCATGTGCACGTTAAAGAACGCGGTTCACTCATCTGAAAAGAGTAATGGATTGTCTCCCAGTGTGCTGCCCAATCACCACCAGAAGGACCCCACTGGAAATAAGTCGTCTTCACACTTTCGTGGGTTATCCTTGGTGTTTACACCAAATAAACTCCATACGTATGTGTGTATGACTAAATTTGCTATCTTTTTGGAGGTAATTTTTTGTCATTTATCATGTTTATCAAGAATATACAATCCTATATTCAAATACAGAAATGTTCAAGATTATTAGTTCACACAGTCAGTATACCTTTAATTATCTTTACTTTCAGCTGTGGCCTTAAGATTACGTGTGCTTAAAAATGGAGAGAAGGATGAAAACAAAGCCAGTTATGTAGTTGGACCTGATCTAAGCAATGTAAGAAAACACATTGTATTTTAATTGCATTCATGTTAGATTCTATCTTGTTTTGTACAACCTGATTTTTAAAAATATTTTTCTGTGAAAAGTCCAATAAAGTTTCTTGCATCTATATTTGTATCTATTTTCTGAAATCTAATACTGGAGCTTCTGAAGATAGTTTTTGTGTCTGTAAATATCATGCAAACTCTTGTGCAACTCACTACTAATCATGTGATTATTCTACCATATAAATTTTGCTCTTGACAGGAGTGTATCAAGCAACCAAATTTTATAAATATATATTTATACATATTTATAAATCATTTATTTCTTAAAATCATTATTACTATTTGCAGAGTTTTTTTTGTTAGCATTGTGGGTTTATTTATTGATGCATTACAGATGATGCGGGATCTCAACAGGACTGGAGTGAATGGGAAACGTCCACATCGACGATCAAAATCATACGATAGACCAGCTGCTGCCCAAAATGGGGATGCTGAGGATGAGCGTGTAGAGGACAACAAACTGAATCATCTGGAGTTCCAATTGGTATGTCACTTGACTACAATAACAGATGTCTTGGTTGGCTAAGCATGCTAGGTTTAATGGATGTTCAAAACATTTGACTGCAATAAGATAGCAAATCATAGAATGTGGATGATGTAGATAAATTGAATAAAAAGATAGTAAAGTAACAAAAACTCGGTATATGATAAAAACTAACTAAATAAATACTCCACCTAGTAAACAAATCTTTTATAAGTTTTATTAAATAAGCTCACAAATCCTCTGTATTTCTTATCAATAGTTTTTAGATCGCTGCACTTCTCTTTTAAATCTGTCAAGTGCCACTCGTCGACTTTTTGACAGTAGTGGCAAGGAGTACAAGAACCTGGTTGGAATTGAAAGAGATCAACTGGTGTATGTTTCATGTGGTGAGCCATGGAATGATCCTAACCAGTCCGCTCAAGATCAGCAGCGACGGATGTTGCTGGCAACACTCTCAGCAGATATTGAACAAATGCAGGAGTTCTTGTCACTTAGAGACACAATAGGTAGGCTTTAGATAGGCTTATGTTATTGTGATTATAATAATGTACAGATTAAATATGTAACGGTATTTATTCAGATCAAAATCATTAAAAACATAAGACATGGCAGCCAAAATGCTGAATTGCTTATTACGTTTACATGAAAAATTAACAATAGAATTTGAGAAAATTACAAAACACCAAAAAAGAAACAATTGCACTATCATGACAATACGAATTCTACATTACATTATTTGAATAATAACATTAGAATTACTGTATAATTATTTTATTAAAAAAGAAACAATATTATTTAAATTATTACATTGTAATATACATTAAAAACATTAAATTGGATGTATAGTGAATAATTGAATAAAAACATTAAAAATTACTGTAAAATTATATTAAAAATGAAACAATATGCATTATAATGAATTTGGCAAGGTACTTCTCTCTTATCTTTATTTGTCATGCCATGACATCATCAACCTTCATGACTCATTTCAGATTATGTTCTTGAGAAGGATCATGACAGCCAAAGATTAGTAATAAATAAATGCTGTATGACAGAAGAAGAGAAAGAGAAAATGGTACAAGGACCCTCACCAGAACCAAGTGATGGAAGTGAAGAAGAGAAAGATGAAGAAGACCCACACTCCAAAATGAGGTATGGATTACAATGTTTACCTTGTGATGTACATTTCTTAATCTTAATACTTCTACTTAAATCTGAATAGACCAACCATTACCAATGCTCTCTCCAATCAGAATATCTTTTTGACTTGCGACATTACACTTTCCACTCTTAGTTTCTATTGTCGGGCACGATGGTTTGTTATAGCGTTTGGGTTAACATGTTGTTCTCCAATCGCAATGCTCTTAAAAATATTAAGATTGCCCATTTCAGGAGCCTTATAAGAATACCCAACGCCATACTATTTTCCTTATTACTCAAGTATCAAAAAAGGAAGATTACTTTTTAGAAATGCTCGAAGTGAAATCTTCACAGCTTGTCTTGAACCGTTTGCCTTGAAATATTTTTAGTTACCATCAACGTGCACATGCCAATTCTGATCAACGATTGGAGGGGTTGAAGTGGCCGTGGGAACGTGTTTTGAATGCAAGTCTTGACGAGGTCACCGAAGCTAATCACGAAATATATGAAACAGATTCACTTGCAAAATCTAAGTAAGTTTAATTAATTGTGTTAATCTCTTAAAACAGTTAATAGAGTTATAACTTAAAGGCTGTATTCTTGTTAACTAACAATTAAGTATTTGTTAACCTACTCATTTTTGGGAGTATCCTGGAAAGACAGGAAGACAAACATCTGGGTCTTAGATGAGATTGGTTCAGACTTAAATGTCATAAAGCCCATCATTGAAGAAAACTGCGCTACTTTTGCCGCAGTGTCAGTGGAATTAAAAAGCAAATTCTTCAAGGAGCTGTGGAAGGCCATATTGGAAGGGGAAGTCAATCAACATCTTGGATAGATAATGTTACAAATGTGGAATGTATGGTGCAACTCGTTTGGCACAACAAACAGAAGAAGATGGCATGCTCGTTTGAAGGCCACAGCAGCATAACTCGGCACACCTGACAAAGAGAGAGAAAACCTACTCATAACTAACATCTGATTGAAACTGAATAATTCAAAAGTCATTTGCCCATGTTTCCTCCTCCTGATTCAACTGCCAAAATTGAAATTACAATAATATTTCTTTCTATCAGATCTAAAAAGAGAGCAATATCCCCTCGTTACAAGAAGAAAAGTGCGTCTAGTGCATACAAGCAACGTTTTACCTTCAGAGATGGTTTTGTAATGCTCAAGTCTTCTCCATACCTAGTGATTGGCATATCGCAGCCAGAGCTAGAGGAAAAGTCGGAGGTTGTGCTGTGCAGGAAGGCTGATGATGATCCTTCACTGAGATGGGAAATTACTGAAGATGGGTAAGAGTGGTGTGATGCAGTAGAGCTGTGACTTGATGGCATTGTTATTGATACCCAGCATCTAATCCTGGGCTCATGGGTTCAAATCCTCTACCACTCTAGGAGTTTATTCTCCAAACTTAAAATAACTTCTATTACTCTATATATGAAATCTTAGTTGAATTTGCAAAAAAAAACTATCTAAATACTGGTTTCCCTCCAATTAAAGACCACTTTTGGAGCCAGGGTTTCCAATGTCATAATAGCAGCTTTGGTCTCAAATTAGAATAATAATGATAATAGACATTTGTTTGTATGTAAACCACAGAAAAGTCGTATTCAATTTTGAGGAAGTGTTTAATTGGAAGGGTCTTTGTTTGAGGGAGACCTGTATGCAATTTACATTTTTAACGAATACCAAAAACAAATTTTTATTTAAAATAAAAAATTTTAAAATATAAATTTCATAAGCAGTTAACATCAGCATCATATTATAGTATCTTCTGTATAGAAAACACGTCCATGGAAAGTTTTTCTGAAAAATGTTTTATCATGTAACATTAGAGTAATTTTATTTTTTGTGCTATAGTTTTATCCAGTCTAAGATCAACAGTGACCTGGTACTCGCTGTATCAATGCCCAGCTTCACCGGAGCCGCTATCGAGGGCGTTTATTGCGGTCAGGCTGTTGTAGTTCAACATAAACAAGATATTGAAAATGGACGAGCCAATCAAAAGTGGTTATTTGAGAAGGAAACTGGATTTATTTATGCTTTCTATGCTGAACCACTTGATAGAGGTAAGTATTGCTTTCGTATTATTATAAAATTAAATTATTGTTAAATTATTTGTTTGAAAGCAAATAAAAAAATATTTGTGACATTTTTTTCTGGTGATTATTTCAAAATGTTCTTGCCAATGATGTGAGAGACCTCACAAATTTCAGCACTAATAATATATAATAAAAATTAATTAATATTAATAATTAAAAATAAAGCTATATAACAAACAACCAAAACAAACAAAGGAATGTTGAAATGTGCACAAAAGGCAAATCATATTTTATTAAATTTGTTTATTTATGTAACAGAAATCTTGGCAGCAAACAAAGCTGGTGTTTGTACCAATGCGGTTGTGGCTGAAAATCCCATCCAACAAAACGTAAGACACTATAGTTGTTTGTTCATTTCATAATGATTATCAAAGATTATTGTTACGTTATATATGGAGATTGCTATAAATAAAAAGTGTACTGTCTGTAGTAAAATCCCTGTCCACACTATCAAATTTCATTTGAAACATGTGTCAGCCTAAATATGGTCATGATAACATCACATCATGACCATATATAGGCACATCATGAGTATATATGGGCATATAACAGTTTCTTTTTTATTTGTTAAAGGGTCATGGGTTCAACACAAAAAAAAATTTGTTGAACAAATAACAAAACTAATGTTTTGGTATTTTGTATGGTTTTTTTTCACAGGGTTATGACCTGGTGCAGAGTAAGGTTGATGGTGATGTTAAGGTGTGCGTAGCCTGTGCAAGGGCCATGAGAGGCAACTATAAACTCAAAAAACAAGAACACACAAATCCCTTCATATGCGCTGTAGGCCTAGCCCCTAAAATGGGCCTCAAACTCATCGGCAGTTTTCAGTGCCTCAGTGGCAAGGTAAGTGTCAACGTTTTGTAACATTGCGGTTTGGCGCAGCGGTTCTGATTCTCAACCTTGATGTGGGATGTTGAATCCCTCGCTGTGCATTTTTCTTGTGTCCTTAGGCAAGGCATTTATATCTACGGTTGTCTATCTCCACCCATGATTGCAAGTGGGTACCTGGTAGGTTCAAACACAAAAGTTGCTAATTACAGCTGCAACATTATGGAATTCTCCCCAGGGAGCTGAGTATATGTCACTTATGTGCTTAATCTAATGAATGGAGGGGTAATAATGTAAAATGCTTAGAGGCCTTGTAGGCATTAAGCACTAATACAAGGCTAACATATTATTACTTTAAAGGTATAATGTCTAACAAACTATATCGTCGTTGTGGATTTATACAATCCACAATTTTCACTAAGTACAGATTATGATGTTTTAAAAATTATGTTGGATACATTTGATATATCAAGATCTGAAGCTTTTGCTGTGCTAGTGTGATGGGTTAGACTGATCTGTCAAAATTTTAAGTAATATCTAAATATTTTGAATTGTGTTAATTTTTCAAGAATTTTGAAGCAATTTTTTTATTATTAGGTTGATTTGTCAACATTTGAAGCTGAAAACACAGTTATTCAATATGAGAAGGAGCTCCGAAGACTAAAACAAATGACGAGTGCGCGCCTGATTGCGCGCGAAATCTCGGCATATCAACCTATTCAATCGGTACGTATGTTGGCTTACAAGAACGGTGAAGGACGCAGCATGGATCCCGTTGTTATCATTGCAAGTACAATCAGAGGGGTAAGATTTTATTGTAGATTTATTGTACATAAATTGTAACTGTTATTTTTTATTGTACTTATTTTTATTGGTATTAATTATTACTAACTAATAATTATTGCAAATTGATTTATTGTAGGTAAATTGTTAATGTTAAAAAAAAATTTTCCCCCATTTGATTCAAAATAATATGATATGACAGTATCAGGTATAAAAACATTTAAAAATGAAATGATTTCCTTTTTTAAGAAGAAATTTAGAAACGGAACTACATTTATCATGTCAGTCTTATAAAGCCTGATAAAAAAGAATCATAAATGACAACTCAGTTTGGCATGGAACTTCTTGAATCTACATTTTATTAAAAATTAATTATGTGATCTGAACCATTTTATTATTAGATTAGTTTTTATTATGTGCAAGTACATATTGTGCTAAGTTTTTAAATCATATTACACTATTAGATTATTTTTTATGTGCATACACATATTGCAGTAAGTTCTTAAACCCATTATTTTTTTATTTGGATTAATACTATACATTATTATTAAAATTAGATTAATGTTTTATACGCATGTTTACATATTTCACTAAGTTAACTATACCATATTGTATTATGAGATTAGTTTTTTTTTTATATGTATACATACATATTGCACTTCTTAAACCATATTGTATTATTAGATAAATAATTTTTTATCTGGATACGTACATATCATACACTTAAGTTCTGTACTTTGGACTAATATTTAAATATGTCATTTTTTTAATTTTAGAAAATAATAACTATTGACATGCATGTTTATGGTAAAAAGGTGAGCTTTGTATTTTTTCATTTGCTTTTTTTTAAGTGATTCCTTATTGTGGTTTTTGTCTGGCAGATTCTTGATCAGTGCACATACCAACTTCAACTTAACGTCGCAGCTCGCCGACTTTATTCCCAAGACGGCACACTTCTACTGTCCATTCCAGACATGATTAAATGTAACTTGGTTCAACAAGGCTTAGAGAACCTTGATATCAGCGGAAACCAAGGTGAAGTTGTCTGATCTGACTGGCTAACACATCCATTGAAACAGACATTCATTCAATAAATGTCTGAGCTTATCGGGAAATACTTAAGGGAGACATCTGTGTCCTAAAGATATTTTGTCATTCATAAAAATCTTGAAAACCCTCAAAAGCATTTCCATTTAAAACATTAAATCAAAAGCAACAAATTGGTTTCACGAATACACAGAAATACAACACTATAATATCGATTCCGATCGATATATAGAGCATAGCGATTTGATTGAAAATAAATATAAAAATACGAATAAATACGAACTCTCAAAACCACAAATCGTTTTATCAACTTTTAATGAGACACAGATTGAAAAACTTTGAAGTGAAAACCCTGGCTTAAAATCTGTGATATGCAAAGGACATTTAGCCTGGAAATGACATTAGTCGTTACAAAAAAAAATCTTTTGTTTAAAGGTATATTAATTGTTTTTTAAAACATCTATTGTTTATTTAAGAAACATCTCTTATTAAAAACACAGCCACATGACAAATAGATTAAAAGTACGTCGATGGCTCATGAGACTTCTGAGGATTAAAGAAACATCCAAAGCGTAACAGGACTTCCTTGGATTAAAGGGATATGTCTATTATAGTTCAATGGGACATCTCTGGATTAAAGGGACATTGCTATATTAAAGAGACATCTATAGATTAATTAAAGGGACATTCTTTGATATAAATAAAATGCATTGCCATTTTTAGAGGGGAAAATATAGACAGATACAGCATTAGAACTTTTAAAGCAGAAAAAAATATAATTATTGGCAAATAGTTCAACACAGTAGAATCAAGATTCATGATTATATTTGCTACAAATGACAATATGGGTATTATCCACTTAATGTACAAGATTAAATCAAATGAAATCTTTATTTTCCAAATATAACATTCTTTGATATAAATAAAATGCATTGCCATTTTTAGTGGGAAAAAATATAGACAGATACATTATTAGAACTTTTAAAGCAGAAAAAATATAATTATTGGCAAATAGTTTAACATCTACATAGTAGAATCAAGATTCATGATTATATTTGCTACAAAGGACAATATGACAAAGGACAAGATTAAATCAAATGAAATCACTATTGTCCAAATATAATGGAAACGTAAACTGGGAATTCATCTTAAGACACAAACAGAAATCCTACCAACAAAAACAAATTGCACAATCATTCATATACTACACAATCAAGAAGTCAGACAAAGGAAACCAAAAAATTTATACAAAAATTACCTATTTTGATACAAGATAAAATAATATATACAAATACAATATTATGGTACATACCATTATTTCATTTTATGAAGAAGCTGAGGAGTATTAGTAAATAGGGTTTCATCTTGAATATAATCTTGTTCACATTTGGGAAGATTGCCATATGTGGCAAAGACAAGCCAAACCAGTCAGTCTTTACAAAAATCAATTTTTAGTTATTAATACAACGTTCAACAGAAAAATGAGAGCTATAAAATGGTAAAAGAATCATTTAAATTTGACATTTCCTCAAGAAGTTACAAGCGTTTAAACGTACAGTTGTTTAAAGAACAGTATTTGAGAAATCAGCCTTCAAAGTGTATGATTTCGGACAGGCAGAAACCATCACCAAATCATTAAATATTAATGTTTTAATATTGAAAATGGGGAAAATAACAGCATAGCATGATGTATAGATATATAAAGATCAGTTTAGTGCAATATAGTAGATTTCAGAACAAATTTACATTCCAGCATGTTTTGGAACAGTATCTCCGAAACAGGATTTGTGACGAGTGACAGGTTTGGCGTATGAGCATATTTTTACAAAACAGTACTTATGGATTAAAGGGATGTCCACAGTGAATGGGAATTCTTCAGATTAAGGAAAATCCATTCCTGTTAGAAAAATACATTCATGTAATTTAGTATAAAAAAAAAAGTGCACAGTATTTAAATTGCTATGGACTGCAGGATTGGGAAATATTTTATTCCCCTTACTTTTACTTGGAAATGTGCAATTTCCCGGTGCATGGATGAAATACATGTTCAACTTCAACATTGTAATATCCTACATCCTAATGCATGGTCTACTCATTATTGCAATATCCTTACATCCTTGTGTATTGTCATAGTCATTACCACAATATTTGTCACCATTTGTCAATAGTAACTGAAGAAAAAAATGTTTCACTTTGACATCTGAGATGTACTATGAATAAGTCACATTCATGTATTATATATTTAGCCAAATGGTCCAGATTTTACCATAGAAAGTATACTTTTTAGCATGAATGACATATTGTTGTACATGATGTAGGTTCTCAAGTATTACATTGTACTATATAAATAAGTAATTTGAATTTTTAATGGTAAAATTGGGGTGGGGTGTGGGGTTCTGTGGTTCGAACTCCTGATATACTGAACCATCTCCTCTCTATGATTTAACACTGTCAAAATTATGATAAAAGTACGTGCTGGAATGCTTCTCCTGGGCCTCACCGGAGCGTTTAAATGCCACATGCCGCTCCAACTCTCATAGGAACTCCTCTCATTGAATTCTATTACATGCCTGGTAAAAAGGTATTCAACTAAACTCTTTAACCGGAAAATTGAAAGACATTTTTTAAATAGAATTTTCAACCAAAAACCTTCGTTTACTTTGTTCTAACCTGCTTTCTTGTTTCCTCTTTTACAGATAGAAACAGAAGATCTTCAAACTCAAAAAAAAGTAGTGCAGACACAAAGGTTGCTATGGCAATGAGAAGGCCCATAGAAGTGTGGGTTTCATGTGGCGAGCCTTTCGTCAGTCCAGGATGTAAGTTTATAATACATCACTTTCTTTCCATCTAGGCATATGCATATGCTTTCTTCAATTTATTGAATTCTTCTAGTACAAACTAACCATTAGGAAATACAACCCACCTATTCATTTACAATGAAAAGGAAACTTTAGTTTGTGAATATTAACCATGATAAACTGACTAATTGTCACGATTCCTTAAGAACACCCGTAACACAAAAACAGAATTGTTCGACCGTCCCAGCACTACAGCAGCCATATCCAAATGTCATACTCATTCCTTTGTCATCGTTTAGTAAATCACTCTTGATTTGGTGTAAATTATCTTATTTTTATAATTTTTTCCCTCCTTTATTTATCTTCCTAAAATGTTTACATATTTTAGGCTTTGATCATCGGAGAAGCTTACAAATGCAACAGAGAGAAGAAAGAGCTCAAGTTAGTTTGGAGCTGGATAAAGAAAAACACATCCTAAGACAGATGCAAGGTATGGAAGAAAAAAGACATAGGCTATGTTCAGACACAACGACTTACGCTAGTGTAACGTTAATCGAGTGGTGTGAACTTGGGCGTGGCGTAGCGAACAGCAGTAATATCGCGCAATCACTGGCGTATGGTAATCCAGCAACTGACCCCAGATTAGCGTACGCCACTGATTTATGACTGTATGGAAGAAAAAAGACGTAATCATTATTAGGGAACATCTTCCAATATATGATTAAAAAAGGAATTGGTGTTAAAAATCTATAAAAGAAAAACTAAAACATTGAATTCCCTATATAAAAAGATCATGTAAAATTATTTATTTACTGGCATTTAGGTGTTATTGATGTATACAATATTGATAATTTGACTGTTATTACAATTCCCATGAAATTCCTATTCATTTAAATGTTAATTGATTGCTATGATTTTATATGATTATTAGTTAGATTATTTTTACGATCTTTCCAAACATTACTTTAATTGTTATTCCAATCTATATTATCATTACTTCATTAAATTGTGTGTTGTACAACATCCATTGTGATAATGTTTATGTGACTATTTTGCTTTCTGTTCCATTCAATCGAAATAATAATAAAGTGCTATTTATATAATGCATATATGTACTTTACTGTACATAAACGAAAAATGGGAAGAAAAGAAAAAGGAGAAAAGCTTTTGCAGAATTAAAGATTCTACTACGAACATTTAGTTGGAGGCTTATGCAAAGAGTTAGGAACAGCATTTTTATTAATGCATCTTCTTAACTCAAATTAAATTTACTTTACTTAGTTTTTAAATTTTTAAAAATTTTATTCTCTGTTTACCTAGGACGTCGCACAGCCCATCTTGATGGGCCAGACTTTAAAGGTACTATGAGTCCAGAACATCCAGTTGCTTTAGAGGGAGGATGGACACAGCCTTCAAGTACTGAGATTAAGAAGTCTGTACAGGTTCATCAATTAGAGGTGAGGTTGAAGACTGATACAAAGAGCAAATATAATCCCACTGTTTAAATATACTCTATTATACATATATTAAAATGTAATTCCTGTAACTTTTTTTCTTCAGAATCATTTAACAGAAATGAAAGCTCAGCAAAGAGTTAAGCAAACAACCAAGCCAATTGTCAACCCAAATAAAATGCTGTATAAGCAGCCTAATGTGGTAAGATCATTGAGTTATTTATTATTTATTTACAATATTTTCAAGTATGGTTGCCCAGCCCCTATAGGCTCATATGACAACCCTTGCACCATAGGCTCATATGGTAATCCTTTCTGATGTAATATAGTTCGATTTATATAGCACTTCATTAGCGCCCGAGGCGTGGTCTAGTTCTTTTGACATGCCAATCTAGGCTGCCCTCCCATCTACATTTTAGTTATAGGAGGGTGTCTTCGCATAAAAAATAGGCTCATTTATTCGTATCATTCTACATGTAGTAGTCCTGATATTGGCATCATACATACCTACCTACCTACAGTCCTGATTTAATCAGGATTGGCCTGAATTTCGATTTTCAATTCCTAAAACTTGTAAGCGATTTAGTTTATAAAGTATACTGGGTCCTGGAAAGCTAACTGGCTACTAAACATATATCCTTTGCAGTTAAAATAAGAAATAAATAATTAAAAATAGATTTTCTAACCATATGCATCTGTAGCATATGAATTCAATATCTGACAGTTTAAAAACCCAGATACATCAATTTCTGTCATCGCTTTTTATTTATCAATCAATCTCAATTATTTTAATGGAGTGTTATTTTCATTCATAGTATAGTGTATTTATTGTATAGTGTGCAATGTTTTTACTACTTTCAATTTGTAATGACAACTCCAATCGCTTGCTTTATGACAATAGGAATTTTACCCACTTTTATAGAAACGAGTGTTGGTGTATCGCAATGGAGAATATCCTGAAAAGGCTACCTATGTTTGGGGCAACAGTATGGGCAACTTACTACAGGAGTCTACCGGTCGACTGTCCATGCACATGCCTGCAAAACGAGTGTTCACTGCTTCCGGGCAACAAATAGAATGTTTTGAGGATATCCAGCGTGACCAGGTTGTTTGCGTGTCAGCAGGCGAAGCATTCAAGAACAATAAAGGTATAAAAAATGTCATAAGGAAATGGCATTAGGGATAACAACAATATGGTGAATCGAGATTGGAGATTGGCGGCAAAAGCCTTCAACCTTGACCTGTTGACTTGAACACTTGGACTTAATGACACTGAACATGTTTTCTGTTCTAATAATAAAACTGAAGCATTCTAAAAATAGCAAAATTTAGGAAGACCAACAGACATTTGTATTATTTTATTTTTTTTAGTGTTTAAAGTGTGTTTATATTTGTTAATTAGAAAAAAAATTTGCTTGTTCTAATTTTTACTTAATTAATTTTTAAGTTAACTTTTTACTTAATATTTTAAGCTAACAACCTAATTGAGAATACAAAGTAAGTTGTTCAAATATTTTTATTTTGTTTTTTTCATTTCTTTATTCTGAATACAAAAATAATATTCATGGATTAAAACACAATAAAGTACTGAAAAGGCAAACTTATTTCTATTGTGGTCCAAGAAAATTGAAAAAGTATATATTTCACATTTTTAAAAGATATTGTATTCTTTATATTCAAGCTATTAAAATAGTTTCTGTAAGCAGAATTAAATGGTTTGACAATTTCTTTCATCTTTTTTTTGTTTTTAGCTGGAAGTAGGCAGCAAATTGAAATAAAAGCAACTTGGTCAAGAACTCGGAAGCGGGAAGGGATAGAAGCTACGGATATCACTGTCACATCCACAAGACATCCTGCTGTGGAGGTTTGTTTACAATAGTGAGGTCGAGTGATGGTGAACAGGTTAAGGGTAAAAAAGATGATATTGAAGATAATGAGAATGATGATGATGATGTGAAAGATTCAAATTTGGATGTAAAAGATTATGACGAGAATGCTGATGAGGAGGACATGACGATGTTAATGAAGACAATAAGGATGAAGAAAATGATGAGAATTCAAATTGGGATGTAAAAGATGATGATGAAAATGTTTGTTAATGAAGAGAATGGAGTTTTGAGTGATAGAAAATAGAAAGAATTTATAAATGAAAAAAAAGTTTTGTAGCTTTTGAATAAAACACCAGCATTTAAATTAAATGATATCTTTTGCACTTTCAGGTTGATCCGTTTGGACCTCCCTCGCTGGCTTTACCCCTCCACTCTGCTATTAGCAATCAACCTCATAACCCTTAAAGAATCTCAACCAAGGAACAACAGAATAACTAGAGCTATGGTAACTAAATAAAAATGTAATAGCTTTTAAGCTGCAAGTCAACATCAACAGAGGTTTTAATTTCTAATTATGTGACTGCAATCAATTTAATTGAAAGACTTTAACAATAATTATCAGTTTATAAAATTATTGTGATTACCATACTTAATTAAGTGTACTTCAATAAGTTTAATTAATGTAAATTAATCATATAGAAGAAGTGTTTTTATAAGAAGAGGGTTTTTATAATTTACTAGGGTATGAGGGATCATTTCCTCTCCACTGTGTGAGTGAAAACAGTACTTTTTTATTCATAGTTATAGTTGATATGCAGCTGAACTTAAAGATATACTGCCAGTATTGAGGTAATTTATATGAGGCATAACATTTAATTTGAATCGCATACGTTGTTTAGATTATATAAGGCAAACCCTGAAAAGAGCAAACATTTCGTAATTTATTCTTTCATTTTTAGAAATAAATGTGTGAATATTCTGACTTTGAATGAATTGTTTTAGGGCTTTTATAGAATGTTATTACAGGCAGTATGTCTTTTAGCTCGCCATCAAAAATGCTTACTTGCTTACAGTCTTACAACATAGTGCTTGTTGTGTGTCTGTACATGGGTGTGTGATAGTTGGTCTAAATGTGTGTGAAAAATTTATTATGAACTGGCCAGAGCTGTCTTAAAGTCTATTCACACTATCAGTTTGTATATGTGACAAGTACCTGTGATTTGCCATATATGGGGATGATATTACATGATCATACCAAAGACAGCAAAGATGTAAAATTGTTCCCTTAATAGTGGTTTTTGGCATGTTTTTGTATAATGATGACATAGATTCTTTATAATTTTATTTTAATTGACCTAAAAATGAGTTACAGTTAATTATAACTAATTTATAACAATAATTTTCAATGCAAAAAAGAATTCATTTAAAATATGAAATCAACAGATATGTAATTAAACCTACAAAATTTGTGCATGTTCCCGATATGGTTTTTTTATTCGAGTGCAATGTTAATGACCAAATATTCTTTTTTTAAGTATTGAGCTCTCTATTGAATGCACAAGATAGATTACCTTTAATAAATGTTACACACTTAAAAATCAGGGTGCGGGATGTCCGGATAGATTAGAATCCTATATCAAAATACTGTACACAAAACAAGAAATCTCCCATCGTTAATGGTCAAAATTGATTTTATTTCTACGAAGTAACATGTGCACTAGGCATTCCAATGCCCATTCTAAGGATGGACAAAATTCTGGTTTGGTGTTAAGTTTATTGCTCAAAAGGTGTCAAAATATAAATTTGAATGATTTTTTTTTTATTTTCGTGAAGACTGTAGTTGTTTTGATACAGAAAAAAAGTGTCCCATTAATAAGGGTGAAATTGTATTGATTTGACCATTTTGCACACTCGAAAGGTGTCCCCTTAAAGTGTCCCCTGAATAGGGGTGTCCAAAAGGAGTGGGGGGGGGGGGTTCCACTGTATATGGACAAAAAAACTTGTCTCAGAGAAATATGATTGTGTGGACAGACACTTAGCACAGCCTCAGCTACAATCAAATATTAATTGTAAGATCTTTGAGTTATAGCTTGGAAGTGGTACTTTTATACAATCTATTTTAGTTTCTGACCTTTAAGCAGAGTAAGTTTACGATAAAAAAACTGAAAGAGGAAAGTTTGCTAAAAGGTTAAGATGATTAAAAACATGATTGTGTTTAGTTTCGTTTCTTAATATAGATTTTAATCAAGCAATATAATTAAATTCGTAAAATTTCCTGTTTCTTGGAAATGGTATCAATGATAAATTAACCATTTGAAGATGTCATTCAGTGGCTTTGTTTTCTTTGTGTAGTTGGGTAAGAGTTCGGTAAAAGTGCATTCCACATGGCTTGTCATCTATATAGCACATTTCTAACAGCAGTACGATAACAGTGTAGATATAAACAATTATACTATACTTCACGAATGAAGCTAAGACAGTCTATTGCCTTAGCTCAGGTATATCCATTTTAATATAGGAGAATGAATTACTTTAAATTAATAAATGTTAATTTGTATAGTAAATACAAGTAATATAAATAATAAGAAGAATGATAATATTAAATTAAAGATAATACATAATAAAAAGAATATTACAATAAAATAAGAATTAATAATAATACAAGGGCAGATCCAGGATATTTTTGCTAGTGAGGGTGGTGATGGGCTAATCAAGGAACTATGTATAATATCACCTTCAAGTTCTTAAGATAGCTATTTCAATCTCATATCTTTAAAGGTTCAAATATTGTACAGAGATGTATGGCTGCTTCCACCCTGTACCTGTATAATAATTACAATCATTATAAATTTATAATATAATGATAAATTTATAATAAAGTAGTAAATCAATAGTAATGATAATAAATATAACAGTACAGAATCTTAATTTAGAAATGTATTTTAATATCGTGGCTAAGATTTAGAACAAATCTGGAGATGAGATGTAAATAGATGCTGATGCTTTTGTAAATATTAATGGTTTTTAAAAATATATGTATATCGGTCGGTTTAGATTTCTATAGCTTTATGTGAAACCAGTGTGTTTTATAATATTATAAAACGTCATATCGTGGTATAAAATTTCATCTGCCATTTGGATATGAATGAGTGGGCGACGACAGTGGCAGGATGTAGACCTTTCAGGGAGGGTGGCATATGGACGTTTGCAAAGGGTTATTAGATAAAACAGATTATAAAATGAATAAGTTTCAGATTTGATCCTTCGACCAGATTCTACTTGCCTTTTAAAAGAGAATAGCTATAATCGTTGTTGAGTTGAGTTTCATAATTACCTGAAATAAAATATTTTTTGGTGAGTGAAAATGTCAGTTGTATGTTATTTTTCAACGTTCTTTTCGAAAATAGGCACAAATACTAAAACAACTATCAAACCATTATAGCTCAACACAGTTTAGTCCTACTTATGCTTAGGTACCTAAGTACAGTGACGTATCTAGGGGGTGCGCACGCACCTTCCCCACAAAAAAACCTAGAGATCTTCACGGCTCAGCGCACACACAGTGGCTACCACCAGATTAGCCGACTGAGCTAAGCTGCCCTCTCATCCAATGAGAAAGAAAACGCCTCACAGATTATTTTGGGCGCCTGGAAAACAAAAATTTCGCGGGGGAATTCCCCCCGGACCCCCTAGGGTAGTGTTGTCTCGATCGGTCCCCCCTTTCGGGGTCCCCTTTCGGACATCTCTGGTTCCGCCCCTGATGTATGCCTATCTTGAACCGTGGAGGCATTTTTCATGCTTTCAAATTTTCTAGCATTAATTCGTAGGTTGATTGGCTTATATCTGAATGTTACGTTAAACCTATCTCGCTAGTTCCGGTCTTATTGTGCCCGATTTGACCTCCAGCTACGCTGTCTTGAATATGGATTAAGCTATAATTGTTCTAATAATAATAATAATAAAAAGTATCTGATTGATAAAATATCTGGTTTACTGGGTGCTTTTTGAGGCCAAGGTTGACCAGTAACGCTTTGTGAGTTGGAATTAATTCTATCAACAAGCGAAAGGAAGACAAATAGACAATAGATGGTTCCTCCCCAAATATGAAAAGTTAAACGATGGATATATGGTTATAATTAAGTTGATAAGCCCAATTAGTAGAGTATATCTTATACATTAGTAATAATGATATCATGTAAAAATGCTTAGTAAGCCCACAAATAATAATAATTTGAATATTTAGTAGGCTTAATACACAGACTTGAATAACTGCACCACGATTAAATTCGTAATATAGACAATTCACATCACTGTAAGAGAAATCATGGAGAGATCGTATAATATTTAATTTTACAAATTAAGCCTACATAGTCCTAAATATAATGTTTAATTAATTGGTCTTTTCGATTAATTTCCCATAGATCAATGGATAATAAACGCCACGCCGGAACATTTATTTGAATAAATGCGGTATGTCTGTACATCCTCCATGGTCTGTATCAGCGAGAAACAGTACTTTACTAGGCTAACATTTTATCAAATGGGAAGGGACAGGATTTGTCAAAAAAGCAGTGGCGTATCCAAGGGGGGAAGCGCACCCCCCACAAAAAGCTTGCGCCCCCCCCCCCCCCCTCGCACCCCCCCCCCCCCCCCCTCCCTCATTTCAAGACTCCTAGATAGGCCACTGGGTAGTGAGTTCGAATCTCGAACTAAAGAATATTTTCACTCTCGTTCTCCTATCTGTTCTTAACTTACAAGAGAGTTTGGTGACCAAAAAGTCTGACCAAATGTGCATACCAAGCACTAGGCTTGAGTTCGCGGATTTTTAAGCCGGGCACACACTGGTTATGGATTCGAGTCCAGGTTGAAGTTGAGTATAGGGAGGCATATAGGCATATATATATGTAAATCGCATTTAATTTCAACGAAGATAAATTGAATGGCTTTTTTTAAAGGAACACTGAGAGTGAAATTGTTAAAAAAAGAATATTAAATTGAGGCTAAGTCAAACGTCGAATGAGGTTATTATTAATAGGAAAACCAACAAATCGTATCTGTACCCTAGGTTCAGTACAGTAGGTGTGACGATGTAATGCCCTCAATAATACAGTACAGTAGTATACTTCTGTACAATAAATTGTTCTATCTTTGAAAAGTGTGTGAAATAAGAACAAAATAAATACATTTTATCCTGAAATCGGTTGAAAAATAAGAACACTGTGCCTGTGCAAAATTTTACTGATTATTATAAAAAGTGTATGCCTATAATATCTTTTGCAGCTTGTTTTGTCTGAGCGCATAGAGACCTAAGTATTTTTCACTATAAAATTCATCAACCGTTATATATACATAATTAACAATGCCGTAGCCAGGATTTTCAAACAGTGTGGGACAAGATCAGGGTGGACCCACTTTACACATAAATTCTAACAATGTGGACCCATTTTACGCAATATGAAAAATCTGGACCCATTTTTCAAAAAGTGGACCCATTTTACGCATAAAATTACAAAATTTGGACCCATTAAAAAAAATTGTCTTGGTTCTAATCCAATTATGACAATACGATTTTCTTAAAAGACTCTTTAATTTGATTGAGGTCTATACAAGAGTCTGTGCAGTTTTAAACTGGATCAACTGGATCTATTTATTCCGAAGAGAACAATAACACCAGCAAACCGGAAGCTAGTAGTGTAGTGTTGCACTTCTGGGACCGTCTGTTAAAAAGGGATATCCGCCTTCCATTATTCACCTTATTCTCACCATCAAGCAACATCCAACAAATATCCAACGTAGAAACAGCAGTGTACATGCCAATGGTCCTTTAAGCATGCGGCCCTGGAGTTAACGCACTAACAGTAACGCGAATTACGTTACCCGCGCGTTCATTGCGTTGCGCACTGTAAAACATTCCGAGTCGAGTTGTGACGCCTGTGAGCATTCGTATTACGAGATTGCTGACCCCCGACACAGATTTGTCTTGCATTCCATATGCCTTGTTCTATTTATTACAATACCGGAGCGTCTAATTGTCCAATTGTGACGTCATTAATATGTTAATTAATTATCTTCTCAGCTTATAGTCATATTAATATGTCCAACTTTTCGCGCACATTTATAGCACATATATGTTTACATATAATGAATTGGAAATTCGATAGCAAAATTTGATATTTAAAACAAGTATCACATCCTCGCGAGCAGGCCTACTGCAAATACAACATTATACGATTTTCAATCAATCACGTTCTAATGAATTTATGTGATTCCCTTTATGTTTATATATACTTTTTCTTTCCCATTTGTTTATATACCGGAAACATTGTTGACAATTTCGTAATCGTTTGTGTGATCATAGTAGGATAATACCTCCAGGGTGTGTTCGTACCGTAGGCCTACGCACCCGGCCCTGATTGTTATCCATTTAAAATGCCATTGACAAAGGAGTCCATCGTATTTCGCAAATATTTACAGACTCAAAAATTGTTACGTTTCGCGTGTTGTGTTCCGTGATGCGTGACTCAACCGAACAACGTATCAGTAGGGTAACGGATGCCGCCGAGCGAGTGGCTTCACTACAGATGGATATAGGGTTTGTGTTGGTGGTTATATTACGGCTGGCAATAATATCGGCCTTTAGCAATGAGGCCTAGAATAAACCACAAACCATTTGTAACTCTATAATAGGCCTAGTTATATTTCCAGGTAAGATCTTTTATTGTATTAACTATTATAGTAAGTATTTGTATGTGAACCATCGCGTGGAAAACATAATAAACATTATGGTTATGTTTCGCTATGTGAAGGATCATAATAATAGACGGATGCTAAATGCCTATCAACATCTAAACGGTACAGTATAGTGAAATGACCTCTTATTATTGTGCACAGTATGTGACGCCGCTTTATAACAAAAGATGAAATTATAAGCAACATCTCGAAATTATAATTTTGTGCTTAAATTGGATCGTCTGCATAGACAGAAGCGTGGTTTAGGCCTTTGTTTACACGTAAAATCATAATTATAACATGGTACATAATTTGTTGCAGGAATGATGTCTTATCGCATCATCATTATGCATCTTTACTTGCTAGCGGCGTCACCAAAAGTGCGTAATAATTATTATCTTCTAACGATCTATATTTCAAATGTGGCTTCTTTGCAATGTAAGCTCCATCATTCATATTGTGATGAATGTTATTCATTGGCCTATGATCAGTGATAATAAGCAAGCATATATATACTTAAATTATACATGTTACATGTGGTTTCACTGTCTTTTTTTATACTTATACTGGTATTCGATACAATTTTCACTTTGCAGCACTGAATAACGCATCATACTAAAAAAAAAATCGATTATACCATTTCAATACTTCTTTGTTTAAGTGGTAGAATATTGCAACACTATAAACTTGGCAAACTAAGTTTTTTTTTATCTAAGTTTTAAGCAGGTAGATATTAAATTATAAATGTTTGCATGTGGTTTCACTGTCTTTTTTATGCATTATTCACTTTGCAGCACTGACTAACGCATACTAAAAATATTTCAATTATTAGATGTATAATCGTACGTCAGAAATAATCCTGTTTAATTACAATAGGCCTAATTATATGTTGATATAATCACACCTTTGGTATCATCACCCCCTTGGTATCATATTGGCCTAGTACCTATTATTATCATGTTCTTTATGTAAAGAACTCAGGTCAGCACACTTTAAGTCCGTGAGAAGATAATTTACGTCCTCGTAGGCGGGGAGCCACACGGTTTATGTATGTCTAGCCACGGCCACGTAATAGTGTCCTGAGACACGGAGGTGGAGAAAGCGAGTTTTGATAATATTTGTCACAGTTAATGACCCGTCGTAGACATAGCTGGTTAAATTACTTAATTATACTTGAGTGTTTACTAAAAAATCTTAATTATCTGATACAAAATTCAGACTGCAATACGCAGCTGATGAGACTTTTAATTGTTTAAATTTTTGATTACTGTGTGTTATTTATATTATTATGTTATTTATAACATTGTATAATTGTATTTTTCCTCAAATGCAGTTGGACTCAATAGGCCTACGAGACAAAGTACAAAGTTGGGCTTTGAATTTAACAATACATTGTCTGTGACGATATTGATGTTGTCTTTGTCATTTCTGTACATGGTAGGCCTATTATAGCGTGTCGCTTTGCTATCTACATTGAACTTAATTGATATCGCAGGATTGGCGCTGATACAGTATGACCTTTTCTTTTCCGGCTGACAATGCTCACATCCGGGTGTTATTATCCGTGCTTGAATCTCTCACTAGCCCGCATCACAACACATGCACAGATGTCCGCTTCCAGTATGGCGTTGGTCCCTTCCATGGGTGGATTATTAGTTACAGTAATAATCATGGCCATTTTGTTCTAAGTTACATGTATTCATCAGAAACTGTCCAAAAACAAGTAACCTATTTAAATTCAATAAAATCGTCTTTCCAGAAAATCAGTAGGCGTATAACGGCAATATATTTACGCCAACTCAATTGCTAAATATAGCAATTCCTTTGTTAGTTGTTGCTTTGTCCAGGTTTCCATCCCAAAGTTGAGTGTAGTTCGGCCACACCGGTAAAATGATAATATAATTGATATTATATAGGCCGCACCTATCTATCTATTCAATACCGTCTTCGTTTATTTTCAATTCTTTATAATATATATATATATATATTGATATCGATTCGATTTTCGGATGATTTTAGACGTATGTCTCGATATAATATAGACTATAAAATGATATTGGAGTTACACCACACGCATATGCA